CCTTTTTAAACTCGGAAACCCACTGCTTAACGGTTGAATATGACGGGGAGGATGTCCCCAGTGTTGAGTCCATCTCTTTTTTAATTTCCTTCGGCGTTAACCCCTTCAAATAAAAGTATTTGATGACAGCACGATTTTCCTGCTTTTCCATTTTTACGAAAACCACAGAGGCGTCTTGTTCAGCGTGCTGTCAAACCTACACTAGCAAGGAGATCGGGCTGAAACTATAGCTACAAGCTATCCAAGGATGGTACTATAGAATGTCACCTCAAGGTAGGCCTAGTGGCGTCATCTCTTGGTTAGGCCGGAAACTTATCAATCCACCCTCGTACAACGGGTCCCAAATGTTCGAAATCCGCGACTAGTTCGTATGGTTACTTGAATGCAATTAAGATTAAATGACCTTTGAAATTATTTTTGATTTCGATTTCTTTTTATGCAAACCAAGTCGAGGGGTGAAAGCTACTCTTGAATATAAAATGTTTTTGTGAGATTTGTACCTAAAAAGGAGAAAACTCTTCAAAAATTAATGATATTTCATCAAAAATGCAGAGATGCTAAAATGGAGCTAAGTTCGATACAAACGACGGCTGAGATCTGAAGGGGTCTCAAATTACAAATAGTGATGAGCAAAGCAAGACTAAGGACAATACTGTCCCGCTCTTGGTATTGGTCTTGGTCATGCGTATTCAGTCTTGGTTTTGGTCTTGCTCATTGGACCTAATATACAAGTTTTTTTTTTTAAATAATTCTTTTAAGAACAAATTTTTCTATTTACCGAATAAATAAAAGTGTCTTAAATGTTGAAATTTTCTGTCACACATGCGAGCTTGTCATAACGTAAAGAAAATAGTGTTGATGGTTGTGAAACTCGAGAACTTACGCTTACTTCAACGCATAAATTGACCCTTTAGAGAACAAAATAGTAAAGGGTACTTGAAAGAAGTAAAAAATATCGAAAAAAAGGTAGTTTTTGTCTCTATATTTTTTACCATGTGTTATCCGGACATAGGAACAAAAACACTTACTCCGACGCCATTATTGTAGATTCCTTTTTTGAAACAGTGGTAAAGTTTTTTTTTTTTTACATTAATGTTAAAACATAGTAAAGCAAACTGAAAATTTCCAATACTAAAAATGTTTTCTTCCAAAAAAAGAATATTTTAAAGTTGCTTCAAACAGTTTGATTCACAAATCCATCGGAAGTAATAATTTTTCGTTTAGTCTTGCGTATTTGGTCTTGGTCTTGTTCGTTCGGTCTTGCTCTTCTTAGGATAAACATAGTCTTGGTCTTGGTCTACGGGTAACAATAGAAAACGATAGACAAAAAAAAGAGTGCGTACAAAGGATTTGTAGATTTAGAGAAAGCTTTTGATAATGTTAAATGGGACAAGATGCTAACTATACTTAAAAATGTAGGGACGAGTTAGAGAGATATAAAAGTGATACTTAGTTTGTACAAAGAACAACAGGCAGTTATTGAGTTGGAGCTGCAACGTAGAGAAGTATATAAGAAATATTAGGAAGGGAGTCAGACAGGGATGCACACTGTCACCGCTACTTTTTAATCTATACATCGAAGACGCCATCAACATCATTAAAGACAGTACAACTGTAGGGATAGACATACAGGGGCAAAATATTAGTATGCTTAGATTTGCAGATGATACAGCAGTATTAGCATCTAGCAAGCAGGAGTTAGAGATAGTCTTAAATAAAATGGAAGCGGTATTGACGAAACAGTATTGTATGAAAATAAATAAAAGTAAAACAAGAAGAAATAGGGAAAGAACGAATATAAAGATAGGAGACAAAAATTAGAAGAAGTGGCTGGTTTTAGGTTTCTAGGAAATGAGATAAGTCAGGACGGAAGGAGTAGTAGAGATATAAGGCAAAGAATAGTGCAGAAGTCCTATGCTCGCGAACAGTTAATTTAGAAATTCGATAGAAAAAGATTGTTAAAGGTGTATGAAGCGTTGAAAATGTGGTGTTACAGGCGAATGATGAGGATACCGTGAACAGAGAAGGTTAGAAATGAAGAGGTATTAGAGAAAATAAGAGAACAGAGGACTCTATAGAAGTCAATAAAAAATAGGCGACATAAGTTGGTAGGACATCTTTTCAGGCATGAAGGTCTAGTCAGAGACATATTAAAGGCAGAAAGAGAAGTTTAGAAGAGTAGTGGTAGACCTAGATTAGATTACTTCGCAAATAGTTAAGGATATGGGATGTTTTAATTTTACAGAAATGCGATGACTATCTCAGATTAGGAAAGAGTGGAGGTGCGTGTCCAACCAGTCTTAAAACTGACGACCTTATGATGACGATGAGAACTTGCCAATTTACAAATTTAATATACACGAACGTAATTATATTACAACTTTCTACAGAATTTGGCACCAGTTCAGATCTCAACATTTTTAGCCGACAATCCCTATTAGCGTTGTTTGTACTAAACTTTTCATTTTTTATATTTATGCTATTGTCGTTACACTATACTTCGAACAGCACATGCTGAAAATATAGAAAGAAATTATATATCTCAAAAGTTTCCTAGGGGACATTTTTTTGCTTTGGGGTTATTAAAAGCAGCAAGCCAATTTTAAACGTTTGAAAACAAATTTTACCTTTTATAACTTGGTCTAAGTAGGGTAAGCCGTTCCGTGTAACTTCGTAATCAATCTTTTCATGTTCCTGAAGGGCGGAAATTATTTCAGTTTTGATTCTGTTTTGTATTTCAGGATTTAAAGCTAATTCGTACAGTCCAAAGGATAAAGCAACCGTAAGAGGTTCAAAACCAGCAAAGAAAACCTGGCCAACCTGACCAAACAAAAAATTGTTTTCTAAAAAAGGAAAGTTTTACGGTTATTACGCGTCATTAAGACAAAATTTTGGTCTTATCTTATTAGTAAAGGAAGTGACAACTAAAAACTAAAGTAATAATAATAGAAAGACACTTGGAGAAGTTTCACTAAATTTTATTACGAAGTCGATGTACATTTCGCCTTTGAGTAGGATAAAAGCCGGATAGTTGCCTCAGTGGGATACATGCCACGCTTTTTAATATACTATCTTAGAGATGTATATGGCATTAGTCCTTTACTAAAATTAGAAGTGCCCCTCCCGTAGAGCTCAGGGCCCTGTTAATTGTCAGAGTAGTCGCAAGCATTTTGTCCATGTAAGCAAAAATCATTCGGGGCCAAACTTTGACGGGCGTCGGAATTATATTATTAAGTAATTTCTATTGAATATTTTTATTACAGATTGTGGTTTCAGTCAACTTTTTGTTTATTTGCTTGCACTAGAGTTTAAATTCCACTGTTTATTAGATTTTATTGTTAAATAGTTTTTATTTATTTCGCAAATAGAAAGGGCGAGTATGGGTATCAAAAAGGATAGTCACCCTATTTACTTTTGCGGATAATCGCTCTAGGGGCAATTATCCGTAACTATAAATTCATTGACGAACAAAGGCAGATCCTTTTTTTCTGGTGTTTAACTTGTTTTAAATAAAATAAAGACTTAAGTGTTTCATGCGCAGTGAGCAAAATGCCTCGCAGGTGTACGCGAAAACCAGACGCAGTGCTGCGCCACATAAGCTGGACAGAAGATAGTTTAAAGGATAAAAAGCATAAAGGAATCAACGAAATATATCGAATTTATGAAATATATGGTGATAATTAATTAATGCTAATGCCCAAGTTGATTACCATATTGTTCTATCTCTAAAATAACACTTTAGTCATTTACTTATAGTTTAGAGGGTATTTTGTCTACCCCTGTTAACTCCTGTACAAAGCCATGCTCCAGACATACATCGTTAATAATCTTTCTCGAATAGTATTTTATAATGTTGATTAATATTTTGACTAGTACTTAACAAAGGATCTCAGTAAATAGTAAAGACTAATTATATAAGTTGATACATATAAGTTTGTTTCTATCCGAAAAAATCATAGTGAGACGTCTATCCTCGCACGAGGCAGGTATCCCCCGTACCATTTTTTTACGTTAGACTATTATCCGCTATAGTAGGCAACTATCCCTTTTTTGAGAGGTCAAATAAAACAGGATTTACTCAAAACCAATGTTACTTACTTAATAATATTCCTGAAGATATCCTAAGAAGACGAAATGTACATCGAGTTCGTAATAAAATTTATTGTTTCCAAGTGTCTTTTTATTATTACTTACAACATTATAATAGTTTCACCATGAGTTTTCGGCTGATTATTTTCATAATTTAAAAACTAAAACTCATTTGTTGATTTTAAAGTACCCAATTCTGCTTTTACGTGAACTAAAAAAATATGAGGATTATCCCAGAGGTAATGCACAGTTGGCAACAATACATCTTTCGCCACATAGTGGCTCATATTACTTCTTCCACTTGAGGAGAAGTCATTGTGTGCTGAAATGTGCATTATTGTAGGTACAATAAATATTTTCTTACCATACCTCTGCGGAAAGTACCATACTTTTCCTTAATTCCAGCAACGAAAGTGAAACATAATTTGTCAGGTAAGAAATCGAATTTAGTGTTCTTGGAAAATACCCGGAGAAGGGTAAAATCTTTTTCTAATAAACATCACGGCATCCCCTTCTGGAAATTTACCGCTTTCGCCCTCAACTCGGGTGGAAATTCACACCCGGGAAAGATAATTACGTTTATATGTTTCTTTTTTCTGCTTACTACCATGTCTGGATATAATTTATTTTTAACCCTTATGCATTCATTGAACAAGTCATTTCCTGTGTTTTCGGTTATTTGTTCATCTTTCTTTACTGCTCTCTCTTCTGTTTTTACAGCCAGGTTTTTCCCCTTTTGTTTCTATGTCCAGCATCCGAGTGTTGTTCTGTCCAGTTTAAATGTTCATTTGATGTACTTGTCTTGCACTTCTTCTATTCCTTTATGTTCTTGCCAACCCCAGATTTCCACCCCATAGATTAAATTGCTCTCTCCAAGTACATTAAACAAACACGTTGTTTTTCTTCCGGCAGTGTTTATGAAGATACTCTCAGCTATGCCTCATACTTTCCCTAATAAGCGTCGAAAACCCTCTAAATGGGTTCCTTGAGTTTGGGGAAAACTTTTGACGTTGGGTATATTTGGACCTGGACTATATTCTGGGTAGGGAAGTTATTCCTAGCAATATTTATTTAGAAGCTCTATGGCTCATGATCAATATTAGGGCGTGCATTTTCATCCAGGAAGCTCAAGCCCCAACGCCAAAATACGACACTTGGAAGTCTGAGATTTTTGGTGTCCTACAACACCGTTAAAGTTATGCAGTCCTTTAGATTCGTTTAAGATCGGAACACCGTTAGTTAAGTAACATTCCAGGACCTAGTTTATGGATTCTTTTACTGTTATAATGAGATCCAAGAGCCAAGAGCCCTTTTCGGGCATTTACTTACAGTAAAATGGCTGAAGAGGGTCTAATCAAACGCTACAGTTTGAGTAGAGGGATTTTATTTGGTAGGTCCTCCTCGGAGGGAATCCAATACTACCGAGTCGTACGGATGGCTGGGTATCTTTTGAAGATTTCCCCTCTTCCACGAAAACAAAAAAGAAAAAAATACCACGAATTGTTTCATTTTTGTTCTAGCCCAGACTCTTTCCGGAACAACATTATAAACAACACTGCATTTGAAATTTTTTGTTCCTTGTTAAATTTTCTAAGAGGTAAGGCTGATTCGATTCAAGATCCTGTAAATTTTTCTCAGAATGTTGTTGTTGTTGAATAATTCCAATGTCTAATTTGATGACATCAAGCCAAAACAAAACTTGACGGGGTCTTAGGGATTACGTGCGTCTTGGTCTATTCCGCACGTTGTTTGATCGCCGAAACCCGACAGAAGCACTTCCTTCATCTTTTTTCGGAATCTTTGGTATTTCTAATTCACGCAAAAACTAATAATACATAATACCGACGTGATCGTAAAATTTTGAACTACACAATGGCTTTTCATTCAACTGTGCAAGTTGCAAATTATTTGCCATAGTTGGGACGATCAAAATTTGGAAAGTCCGCAATTATCTGTAAGAATGGACATATCTTCTTGTTTCCAGTTGGAAGGGTAGTCCTTTTGAAATGCTTCATGAGTGGTACAGATAAAGTGAAAAGAGATAACCGAATAACAGTAAGCGGTGCAGCGGTTAGAGGTTATAACTACCTGATTGGAATTATATTTTTAACATTCCTAAATTCCAGATAATGTTGAACTTTCTTTAAGGTCTTATGCTGGCAACATGCTCAAATTCTGCTTATCTGTATGTCCATCTCTTTCTGTTACACATTAACTGGTGTAATGTTATTCCTTTTTCTTTATTAGTGACCGCTGCAATTCCTACCTATGTTTATGATATTTCCTACGTCTATCTTCAGTAAAAGTAGGCGCCTGTCAGCAAACGCTCTAGTAAGTTGAAACAAGATAGTAAATTCGACAGTTTTATTGCGGACTATGCCAATTATGAATGTCTCAACTATACGTGAATTACTTTTGGGACAACCCTGGTATAATTCATTTTCTTTTTATAAATATCTTTTGATTCGTTAAGACCGACTAAAAGTTTAATTTTTATTGTTGGAACCGGTCAACATTTTTGTTTGAAATCTACCTTCAATGTGTGGTAGTAAAGGTGAATATTATCCTTTTTATGTTTGACGTTAAAAATCGTTGATAAAATTATCATATGATTTACTGTATATCAACTAAAACACAATTGGGGGATAACATAAGGCTTAAATATATAATAATAGTAGGCGTAATCCTTTACCTACCGAAAATCATGTCGTTTATAACTTTTCTTCTTTTAAATTCAACCAAAATATCTATTATATCACCGTTTCTATAATTGTCATTTTCTTCTCTAAAATTGATTTGTGATGTCGTCAAATGCTTAATGTAGTTGTAGACATGTCGATCGAAAGTTTGCAACTTTGCAAATTTGATAAAAAAAGGCGCAACAAAATAAGCAGCCTGTCGAATGGTATTTTCGTAGCTGAAATCAAACATTCTTCTTCCGATCAAGTAAAAATCGGCATTTTTATCTTTCAGGCAAGCGGCATCAACGCCAAAATTGGTGGTGGCTACAACATCCATCGAATAACGGGCACATACTTCTCTCGCGTCCAGGATAGGAGTTTTTACTGTTTCTTCTGTTAAATAATTAACAAACTTTTTTACAATGCTACCTACTGTGCCGTACATGTTTTTTAATTTTCCGGAAGTGAAAATTGGGCTCGCCTTCGTTCTAAGTATTTTCCATTTATTGGCTTCGGCGAAAAACATGAAATTTGCAGACAATGAATCTATATTTTCATTGGAGTAAATGCTTCTGTTCCTGAAGATGTCGAAATCCTTAACGAGTACATGTTTAATGATTTCGGGATCTTTCACAATCAGAAATGGTTGGTTTAAAATGAAAATTCCCACCATACGATCTTGAATTTGATGGTACAGTTCTGCTATTTGAACCGCAAATTGTTTTCGGAAAAAGAACACCTCGCAGATATTTCCAAAAAACGGTTTTGGCCTTATATACGGCACGTTTTTTTGTTCCCAATAATCGAAATTACGAGTTAGATATTTGTAAATTACGTAAAAAGTTATACATAACAGTAATAGCGAATGCATCTCAATTGATATACTATATGTTTATGTAACCTCTGAACCTGCAATTTAGTATAATATACAAAAAGTAATTACATCAACAATACAACAAAAACAAGAAAACCATTTGTAGAATTTTTATTTGATTTTAACTAAACAATGAAGTAAAAGTTTTAGTATTTCTTTTATAAAACCGATTGTTAAGGGTGGGCAAATTTCAATGTTTGTATAGGACAACTCGGTAATTGTAAGATTTCTCTTTTTAGGGTTCCGTAAGTCCGAATGAAAAACAGTTAATTTGCTCTTAATCTTTGAAACAATATTTTATAGATTTCCTAAATAGCCTCGGAATTTTATACATTTCCTAGGAGTTGTATACAATTCCTAGATTTAATATATTTCCAGTAACACATGTACAAACATCGACATTTGTCAAATCCTGTTTAAGTCAACTTTAAATAACTTGATAAAGCGAATACAGAAAAAAAAATTGTCTATGACTTTTTCAAAGTAGGTTTTTGAAATCGATATCTACTATACCTACTGTTAATTCGATGGTACTGATAAAGATAAACGCATTGTTCAGAATAGTACATATGTAAAATTAAATTAGATTAGTTAAAAATTACGTCGTAACGAATTTTCAGATCTAAATTTTTTTTTTACGACAAGAAATACAGATTGAGAAAACGGTTTTTGTTCGTTTTAATGGTGAAGTCTTGTTACGACGGGCTTTTTAAACAATTTATATTATTTATTGTTTTAATTGTATAATAATTATGCTGTTAATGATTGACGTTTCTAATTGTTTATTATTATATTTATTATTTTACATCTATTGCACATAAGTAATGTGTTTATATCAAGAATTGATTTTAAAGCCTACCTTGAAAAAATCTTACATCCAAGGCGAAACGTCGGTGTGATTTTTAAAATATTAAAACAACTTTAAACCCTAATTGATATTGATCTTTAATGCAATTATAAAAATAATGCAAGAAANATTAAAAAACAACATACAACTTCACTCCACCATTGAGTCGCTCACCCCTACTATTACTACCCCACTCTTGTTACCCCCCCTTAACTTTGCGAAACCAACACATGACTCCCCTACTTAAATAGAGTTACAAATAACGACATTTAAGTATTGCCGAAGAAGAGTCAACAGGCAGTTCCTACACTAATTCAAAGTTAGAAGGTCAGCTTTATATAACTTTAAATTTATAATATTTTGTTTATTTAGTTCCTTACCTTTTTGATCACCGATAACGCATGAATTAGGTCCGGCCTTACGTAAAATAGCATGAGGTCCGTCATATAATAAAAATAATTTACGAATAGTTCGACCTTTCACAGAAGACTGCAGATTTGATCTAACAAGGACTTGATCTCCCTCCTTAAATACAATAGGATTCGAAGCCGCATTAGCTTTATAGTAGCGCGTCTTTCTGCTTTAGTTTGAAACCGATTATGGGTTAAATCCCAATGATATTCTAGAGGCAAAGTGTCTGATTCCTGGTTACTCTTTGGAAATTTTAATATTTTCTTCCTTACCTGTTTGCAAAAAATAAGTTGAATAACCAGTAATATCGTTAGTAACTCGGTTTAAACATTACCCAATGAACTCTAGAACAAATGCTCACCTAGTATATTTATCAAACCAATAGGACCTTAAAAGCCGTCCGACTTTTTTTTTTATACCGTTCCGTTAAATTGCCTTGTGGAAAATAAACTGAAATATATTTCATTCTGAACTTAAACCCTCTAAGGTGGAAAGTCATACGTTTGATGTGAAATTTGTTTGGAAATGTTACCACTTCATTTCTTATGAATAAAAATAATGAAAGATGCATTCAATGGATATTATTTACGGATGATTGGTCAGGTAAAATAAATAATAGGTCAGAGCAAGTTTTTTGAGAAAAACAATAATTAAGCGGCATCAACAGTGACGACACCCCACTATCAATCGAACGAAGTGACATCAGTTCTTGTTTTTAATCCCTGTTTCAAATAATATTCAAATAAAATACTGCTACTTGTATTTGATACAAGATAATGTCCAACCCTTAACTGTCTAGCTTATTTGCTTATTCATATCCAAACTAAGGGGATGGTAAACACTTTTTATGTTGTGCAAGGTCCTTTCCAACCTTTACCACCGACAGTTGGTTCTACACACAAGTATAAACCCATCCAACCCTTAACTGTCTAGCTTATTTGTTTATTCATATCCAAACTAAGGGGGTGGTAAACACGTTTTGTGTTGTCCGAAGTCATCCCCCGCCCTTACCATTGACAGTTGGTTCATATGCACCATTATCAATTCGATCTTTCACCGACACCTCCAGCCCCTTCACATCTCCACCTCTAAGTAGTGTTTTACAAGGTCACCCTTATCCCTTTAATCCCTTTCACCTCTTTCCGAAATAAATTACACTTTTACTTTGTATAAAACATGCAAGAGAAAATAAAATGAAAACTAATGTTATTGTTTGAAATTTATAAAAATCAATAGTCAAAACTGAAGAAGAAAATTCATTGCAATTCTGTGCGTTTTAACACATTAAAAATCAGTTAAAAAAAATATTGAAATAAAAATATTTATTTGGTACCTACGGTATGGACATTCACGAGAATTATGTATTATTTTCGAATGAGGTAGTTGATTGGTACTGTAACAGCTTCAACTCTTGTGAGAACACCAATTGGGCTATCTGTAGTCTCAAGTGTGCTTGAACAACAGCTGGCATTTTTTTTATTGTGTCTGCTATGCTTTCAAAGAAAGAGTCGAGTGAATTTGATGATTTATCCAAATTACCAGAATACGAGCCGTTTGTTTTCACTTTTTTCCTAACTTTACCAGGATGGTGTTCTTCGAAATGAGACGATGCGGTAAAAATATTAAATGGTTTATCATAACATTCGTAATGACCAGCAGATTTCATTGTTTTTTGGTTCTGTTTTAGAAAGCAATTACTGGTATTTAAATCCTTTCCAGGGTGATGATGATAATAAAAAGCTAAATCAGAACTAAAAAATTATTCGTTTTATAACGTTTATCACAATATTTTGATAATGGATTCTTTCAAGTCACAAAACAAGATGATTACACTAGAAGAAATTTGGTGTAATGAATTTTAAAAGTTCAATTTAGTTTTTAGAGAATCTCATCATTAAGTGCTACAGTACATCAAATTAATCCCTAAAAATCCCCTAATTTCGACACAATTGAAGTTCATTTTGTCTACTTCGTTGTGCTAGCTTCCTTAATGTAACCACCTTTTGTTTCTGCGATATTAAAGATATAAAAAGATCAAGTACCAACTTTCGTACATTACAAATCGATTTATAAAACTTTGGCAATTGTCAGAGAAATAAACAAGTGTTTTTAATCTCTTTAAATTATTCATTTTTTAACGAATTAAATTAACTAACTTATATCTGGAGGCGATTGCTTCATTTTTATTGAAATTAACGTATAATCAAAATCGATTGAGAAATATTGAAGTGAAAGTTGTTTTTCGGAGAACTGCGAAAAGTTTGATGATAATAACTTACAAACTTTCCAAGTTTTGCTCGGGAGTTGGATCAACCAGAATCCACTTTTGTAATTTAATCCATGTTTTCCCCNATAATAACTTACAAACTTTCTAAGTTTTGCTCGGGAGTTGGATCAACCAGAATCCACTTTTGTAATTTAATCCATGTTTTCCCCGATACACCTTTTAAAGTTTGAACAAATTTTCTATAAAAAATTTTAACGTGATCCCATGCTCCACTTTTGCCTAATAAGTAATTTTAATTTGAAGATAACAAAAATTAGAATTGAAAATGTGACAGAAAAATGTAGCGAACACTTTTACCGGTTTCAGATTCAACTTCCCAATTGTTCACTGGAACGCAAAAAAACATTAGAATCTATAGTTCTTGCTGCTCTTCAAAAAATTAATTCGTGAACTAGCATTAAAGCAATAATTATCTGTTTACAAGTAATTTTGCTTGAAATTAACTCTTGACGTTTATTTCTCTTTCTAATCTGTCATATTAAAAAACAAAAAGAAGTGCAACATAAAATTCTTAACGATCAATCAAAATGCAGTTAATTATTTTAAAATTTTGTTGCCGTTTCTTCCCTAAAAGCAATTGTATAATGTAAGAAATCAAGCTATATAGGGCAAAGGTTTTTTTTATTTATGTGAAACCACAACCAACGTTATGCACTCAATTACGAGGCATCGTCAGGGTTAGGTTTCTAATTTATTAGATAAATGTGTAAATCCAAGGTTGCAGTTTTTTGTAGCGGTACAGAGTAAGGGGAAGTACATGAATTTATGTGTAATAAATTAGAATAAATAATTACAATTACTTAGAACAGCATACTGCAAAGATAAAACAATAAACATTAAAAAACAACATACAACTTCACTCCACCATTGAGTCGCTCACCCCTACTATTACTACCCCACTCTTGTTACCCCCCCTTAACTTTGCGAAACCAACACATGACTCCCCTACTTAAATAGAGTTACAAATAACGACATTTAAGTATTGCCGAAGAAGAGTCAACAGGCAGTTCCTACACTAATTCAAAGTTAGAAGGTCAGCTTTATATAACTTTAAATTTATAATATTTTGTTTATTTAGTTCCTTACCTTTTTGATCACCGATAACGCATGAATTAGGTCCGGCCTTACGTAAAATAGCATGAGGTCCGTCATATAATAAAAATAATTTACGAATAGTTCGACCTTTCACAGAAGACTGCAGATTTGATCTAACAAGGACTTGATCTCCCTCCTTAAATACAATAGGATTCGAAGCCGCATTAGCTTTATAGTAGCGCGTCTTTCTGCTTTAGTTTGAAACCGATTATGGGTTAAATCCCAATGATATTCTAGAGGCAAAGTGTCTGATTCCTGGTTACTCTTTGGAAATTTTAATATTTTCTTCCTTACCTGTTTGCAAAAAATAAGTTGAATAACCAGTAATATCGTTAGTAACTCGGTTTAAACATTACCCAATGAACTCTAGAACAAATGCTCACCTAGTATATTTATCAAACCAATAGGACCTTAAAAGCCGTCCGACTTTTTTTTTTATACCGTTCCGTTAAATTGCCTTGTGGAAAATAAACTGAAATATATTTCATTCTGAACTTAAACCCTCTAAGGTGGAAAGTCATACGTTTGATGTGAAATTTGTTTGGAAATGTTACCACTTCATTTCTTATGAATAAAAATAATGAAAGATGCATTCAGTGGATATTATTTACGGATGATTGGTCAGGTAAAATAAATAATAGGTCAGAGCAAGTTTTTTGAGAAAAACAATAATTAAGCGGCATCAACAGTGACGACACCCCACTATCAATCGAACGAAGTGACATCAGTTCTTGTTTTTAATCCCTGTTTCAAATAATATTCAAATAAAATACTGCTACTTGTATTTGATACAAGATAATGTATTAAGGGTGTGACAACAGCAACAAATTTTCCCTTATTAGCTTGAGGTAGTTTATAGTAGGAAAAAATTAAAATTAATTTTTACATTATTATTTGATATCAACCCCTATTAAATGTCAAATGGTTCATATATCTAAATAGTATTAATAAATAATTGTTCAGATTAATTTCTTAATCTTGAGATGGTACTTACATTACTTCAAAACTGTATTTGGTTTGGTACTTACCTTTAAAAGATATATCGGTAAAAAATAGAGTATTCAAAAATAAATCTCACTTTTACCAATTTATTTATATCAAAGACAACCCCAATGGGTTTTTGAGGGGTAATGGCGAGTAAAGGAGATCAAAGAGTTTTTGAAATAATAAAATATAGATTGTGATAATTTTAATNTTCAAAGTTAATAAATATGCCAATTTTTATACATTTCTAGGCATGTAAATATTTATATAGTCATTCTTAAACAATATCCAAAGGTAAAACTAATGAAAAATACATAAAAATATTGAGAAATATATGTATATATATATATGTATATGATCAGCCACTGCACATTATTTTACATTTTTCATCTGATCTAGACATTGTCACTAGGTGTTGAAATAGTACCATTGTATGTACAACACCGACAAAAGAAATAGTTAGCTAGTCCATCCCCAATACCCCCAGGGGCGTTGCTTTTCTGTCATATCATTTCCGTATGCTTCTGCTGATTGTTGCTTGCTGTTACCATCACGTGGTCCTTGTATATGTCCTGTATTTTTGTTATGGGTTCATTTCTGCCATGCACGTCATCCGCCCTTGGTCCCTTCGTTGCATGGATATGTTGCTGTTGTTGTTTCTCATCCGAAGATGACGTTGAAGATGCTTCCTTTTCAACCGTTTGAATATTTGTCAAAGATTTGGTCTTTTCCATCAATTCGACTCTTTCTACGTCTGGTTTCAGTTGTGAACTTGACGGTATCGAAGTATTGTCCGAATGCTTGTTGAAATCGGCCTCTGAAGCCCAAACGTCTAAACTGTTGGGTGATTTGTCCTTACCAGTGAAGAATTTCCATCCTTTTCTGGCCGCACTCATGCTCTTTCTTACTTTAGGAAGTGTGTTCGCTTTGGAAATACTTTCAAGGCTTTGGCAACATTCCGAGTCCATTTTGGTCCTCCTCAATGTGAGAGTAGTTCTTTTGCTGCTGCTGTTGTTGTTCTTTGGAGTTTTTGGTACCGGAGATTTCTCCATTGTTAGTCCAAACTTTTCCGAAAAGTGTTTCAACCGGGATATTATGGATCTATTGGATTTGGTACTAGTTTCTACGAGAGATTCCGTTTCTTGGGTCGTGGTGGTGCATAACTGGTGAGGTTTAGTGTCACCTTCTGTTGTTATTTTGTTGTCTGTAGCTAGAGTGTCCGGTGAGTCGAAAGTTCTGCTGTTAAAGCTTCTCTTGATGTTTTTCAAGAGTGACATTTTTTTCTTTTCTTTGGAAAGCGAAGGTTGATCGGTCGTACCAGCAACCGATGTGCTCCTAGCTCTTGGGGATTGGTCGGGGGTCAGGGAATCGGCGGGGGACGAATGGAGACTATTCATTTTTAATTTTTCTACATTTGTTAATGATCGGCATTCGCTACTTTTCAAAATACTACGTTTCTCGTCGGAAATGTAGGTTTTGACAGAATGTTCGGAATTTCTTTTGTTCAAATTCAAAGTTTCCTTCGATATGATACATTCGTCGTCGTCAATTTCGTTGCGGTTGTTTATGTTGTAACATTTAACGTCGTAATTTTTGTTGACCTCGTCCAAATATTCGGGGTTATCTATGGATAATTTCTTGCCAAGGTAGACGTTCCGCTGATCGAAGCTGAGCATTCCCGCTCGCAATTTCCCTTTTTCGCGTTGCAAAACTCTCACCAAATCTACGTTATTTATGTTGGGAACTTTTTCCCTGCTCCCTTTCCGGGATCCGGGATAACTTTTCCTCCCTGCACATACTGTTGGTTCGGTCGATATTTTAAACTTTAATGCCTTCTCTGACACTTCAACTTCTGTAGGTTCTTCACCACTTTCGATGTCTTCAAGAACATCTTCGAGTGGTTGAATTTCGACGTCGATTTCTTCTCTGTGATCCACTCCCATTTCAACTTCGTCGTCTACCGATCTAGAGCTGGAACAATGTAAGAAATACATTCTGGGTTACTGAAAAAAAGAATTCTTTTGAGTACCGAGGTGTTTCTTTACCTGGTACGGTTCTGGAAGCTTAGGCTTTTCTTCATTTTAATACTGGTGCTTGAGTTCGATTTAGGCGTCACATTAGGAGTGTTCTCGCTGCTGTGATCGGTATTGTCCGAGACAATGCTCTTTCGATGCAGCCGCTCTTCTTTGCTAGCCTCGTTGAGCTTTTTGTAGTAGTCCAAAGCTTCTCTAACTGGCTGTATAATTAGGTCCTACCAACGTTATGTAACACAAAAAAGAAACTAATTAATTCGGTAAACAATACCTTTATAATTAGCCAATCAGTCTTTTGTCTAGGAACGAAAAACCGTTTCCAAAGAAGTAGAAACCAAAAATTAGTTCTTCCGCTTTCTTTTTATAGGCCAGTGGATTCGTACACATAAAAAATCGTAAAGCGGGAAGTAGTCCTGATTCTTTTGATATCTTGTTGGGACCAGTTAGAGTAGCCGAAGTTTAAGTTTACAGTTTAAAAAGAATCGGTGCTCGCTGTGTATTACGTGAAAATATTTCTTATAATTCATAAATTGTGTCTTTTTCGATATTAACTGTTGTTATAATTTTTAAATTACTTAAATTAAATATGCAACAATTTATACCAAACTACAGCATGTGTATAGAATTATTTTCGAGATATGGTCATTTTACCATAATTGTAAGTAAAACTTGCCAAAACTTCGTTACGATTCGCACTGGACGACGAGGACGAAGATGAAAAATAAATAAACCGTTCAATTAACGAAAGAAAAACAATGCGAAATGAAGTTGTAGTAACATAAACACAAAACGAAGTCTGTTGACCCGATAGTTTTGTTTTAATCGTAAAATAAAATAAAAAATGGAAAATTGTATTAAGAGTGAAAAGTATAGGTATGTACAATGTACGTTTCTTATTAAAAATCGATTATCAATCAATATCTGAAAACGTTCAATGCTTTTATTTTTAATAAGTGGACAAGGACGACGTGCACTACGACAGCTGAACTCAATTTTCTAGAATAACAACAATTTACACAAGTATCATCGAGAGAATCATCACAAATGGGACTGGGACATGGGAACTGACCAAAAGTAATAAACAGAAACTGCTGTTCCTAGACATGGATTATTGGCAAAGAAGTTGTGGAATCTCAAGATTGGACTAAGTAAGAAATGACGAAATTAGACAAATAATTAGAAAGAAACACAATAGAAAGGAAACAACTATTACAGTAAAATTTTTCCAACGGATTCCACAGGGAAGAAGAAATTCCTGTCACTAAAAATGGATTATTGGCGAAGAAGTTGCGGATTGTGAAGATTGTATTATATATGAAATGATGGAATTACAGAAATAATTAAACTTGAAAGAAACATCCCAGACACAGTAGAAAAGAAACAACTATCATGATAACAATTTTCTAACGGATTCCATCGGAAAGGAGAAAACGTGGCAGACCTCCATAAAGATGAAGTCGTAAGAGCTAGTGGGCTAGAGAATGACGACATTTGCAGTATGTGTATGTATATATAAAACGGATAATAACAAGTATCAAAAAATGCACAGTTTATGAGTTATAAGAAAGCTACCGCAAACATTAAACAAATTTGCACATATTACGCTGCAAGCACAGGTTTTTCTAAGCTGGTCCTAACAACATACCAAAAGATCAGGAATACATTACTCATTACGACTTTAATGTCGAATTCCACCGGCCTGTTATTTATTTTAAATTTCTTCTTTTATCCATTCATTTCTATAGTAATTTTCAAAAAGCTTCTTTACTTTTGGTGAAGGTTTTGGTGAACGTATAGGTAATTTGGAATGACCTGAACCTTCACATGCACGAGAAGAGAGCCTTATTCCATTCATAATGAATCTACATCGATTGGGCTGTTAACCATGTTCTTCGCAATACATGCAAGGACGAAACTACATATAAAGTTCGATCACACATTGACAAGACTAGGACGGGACGTTTACGAGACGAGTGTCGTACGAGATATCTACAGGCTTGAATGTATGAAGCTCAATATCAACGTGACGAGCACGGAATGGACAAGGGAGTCGTACGACCTCCATCAACGACGAGTTTTATTCAATTTTTCATGTGTTCGTCCGGTGCACGTTGTACAGTTCTGTACAAGATTGTAATAAAACAGTAACACCGTCGTACGATATTTTGAGATTTTTTATTTGAATATTATCACTGAGATCCTGGAATGCTGCATGGGTCATTCTAAAATATTGATGGAATTTTCTTTCGTCGTCTATTAAATGTGGACATAACGTCATAAATTCTCCTTCTCTAAGTCTACTTTACTTTTCCAGGCATTGTGATCCCATATTGTCCCTTTTGAGCTTTTTACTTTTTTACATCTTTATAAATCCTTTAGTGCCAACACTAATATAGCTAAATTATTGTTTTTAAAGTTTGGAAATTACCGTGCGAGTCGTATGTGTGGTTTCGACGTCAACAGAACGAGAAATGTACGTACCACGTACGACGCTCGTGTCGCACACGTTCCATACTCGTGTGGCCAAACCTTTATAAACTGTAAACAGTGATAGGCCGACGCTTTTAAGAAGTACAGATGTAGAAATTAATCCAAGGGTTCATGTCATTCCAAACTACTTCTAACACTGAACGATAAGAATAGGATTTTTCACCTGTAGTTCCGTTAAAAGTTCCCCAAGTGCTTCGAAGAGAGGCAATAAAACGAATCCAATGAATGAACATTGGGAAGAAGGTTTCGTAATTTTTTCTCTATCCATGAAAGGTGTGACTGGTAGGCCTTCGAGTTTTTCGGCATCACTTTGTTTGAAGAACTCCTGAAGCAATCTGTCTAACCATGGCTCTGCCACGTCCATTGGTCTTGCCTCATTTGATATGTCTGACACTTTTATAAGGACCATGCTTAACTAGAAATTTTAACGAGAAAACGGTGTCAACCCATACCTTAAGCTTAGGTTGTTAAGCAATTAAAGAAACTGAAATTTCTATGCTTTCATTATACCAAATTATTTTAAATCTGTTTCATTTTTATTTTAAAGACGAAATTAGCAAATATAGAACCCTCTGGGATAATCACCAGTGCCATTTTCCATCGATGAAAATTAAAAATAAATTAGTTAGCTGTTTGAAGGGTGCTTTATTTTTTGAAGATAATAGAATTTTCTCGGTGCTGCTGTAAAATTGTTTGTTTAAAGTTCAATCGTAAAAACAAAGTCCTTCACTTTGTGTCTCATTTAAAATTTTACTTAAAACAAGGTTCATCAATTGAAAAGGGTAGGAACATTTTCCGTCTGGTTTAAATTAATTAAAAGTTGACTTATTAGTTACAAAAATGTATTTTTTGGATTTTTTAAAAAGGAAAAACTTCGAGCAGCTAGTCGATTCAAAATCTACTTGAATGTTTAAAAATTGAGAAAGAATATGATGTTTAGTTTAAAATTTTTGAAGTTTACACACTTTCAGCTCTTATTTTTGATTGTAGTCTGTTGTGTGTTGTGCTTAGTATTTAAGGGAACGTACTCATACTACGTGACTCATTGTTTATAATTTTTTACCCTCTCCTCCCTTCGGTGACCATTCGTACCAAGACCCCTCTTCCCTTCTAGTGTTCACCTAGTAATTCATAAATATGGTTTTAAATCAGTTTTTGCAAACAGAGAGATTTGAATATAGTTCGAAAAAGCGCAATATTTGCCTAGAGGATATTGACTAGTCACGAAAATCTGAGCCCCCCACCTCCGTGACAAAACGTGGTATTCCCCCCTTCCCCGACCGGATCACGTAGTATGGGTACGTTCCCTAATTTATTTTAATGCAACAGTCATCATGTAACGTGTCTTTTAGCCAAAGTATAATAAATTTAAGGCATTTCCAATTTTTTAAATTTGTACGTAAACATAGTCAAGATATTCGGCATCGTTTACAAACGGGAATTACCCCAAACCTTCTAAAGTCTTCGACCACCCACCTATATTTCTAACTACTGTACTGAAGGCAGCTAAAGGGTAGTAAACACTTTTCTTGTGAATTCTTTTTGGGAAGGCTATAATTTTTCAATTTTTTATTGTATACAACGGAATCTATCAATCCCATTCAATCAGGAATCGATCATTGCAGTTGTAAATATTCTTGAGTGTCCGCAATAATTAAAGTCAGCGAAATATGTGCCTGATTTTTTGTGGTAAGTAGGGGAAAAGCCGCTTTACGTTTATTTGTTCACCACAGTCTCCTTCATTATTCTTCTTGTAAATACACATTACACATCCAGTTGCTTGGAAGTTAAAACTTTTTTTCCCAAGATATTTTTTTATTTCACGCTGCAGGCATTGTAGGCACGTGCTTAGGGTGACAGTAAAACGGGAGAAGGAACAGTATAAAGAAGCTGTACCTTTTTTACGTTAAAATCTCTTTAAAATAATTTTACTGGGAAAGCCAGTTAAGACGCAATTTGAGAGACTTAAAATTGCGTTTATAGCTGAGTTTGAGTTTTGTAATTTATTTTGTACACACATTGTTAGGATATCAATCGCGGGTAAAACCTATCATGAAATTTTGTTCACATTGTCAAGGGCACAGGAAAGGACATATTAGGGTACCTTTTATCCAGAATAAAAATACTGTTCCCGAGGGATAGGAAGAATTGGTTTTATATGGTTAAAAGCTTTTATCTTTCCAAAATCCAAAATGAGACAGAAAAAAATGAAATTATTTAACTGATTTGAATAATCAGTCAGATACAATGACAACTACTTGTACGAAACACATATAAAAAGATTGTTGAAAAACAACAAGTCTAAAAAGATATTTTTCTCTTATAGTAAAGGATTATAAATTTAGAATAAAAGATACTTTGATGACTATAAGTTTTTCTTCTTGCTTTTACTTTTTGTCGAAATGTTAAAAGACACAGCTTGGTTAATATTTATACTCTGAAAGACCATTTAAAGGGAAATTTTTTAACCTATAGCATCTTAATTAAAAAGTCGATTTAAAAAATTCCGGTTAATTGCCGGCTGGTTACCATCGGTACAAAAAATGTGACGAAAGGCACAAAGCATAAACCCAAACTTTTCCCTGATGGGGATCTACACCCTCCGAACCCCCTCTCAGTTAAATACGTGCCTGGTAGGTATTCATACATATATGTCGCAATAAATTTAAAAAACTTCACATTTTCTAAATACAGCGGACCTCAGTCACAATGAACAGGGGTTAGTTTAAATTAACGAAATTAAAGAACAAAATTACATTCCATTTAACACGTGGTATTCATACTTGGATATAACGATCACATTCATTACGAACAAACGGCTGTAGCGAACGTCACTGAACAGGAAATTAGTAGGTACGATCGGCTATAACGAACAATTATATGGAAAAACAATTCTTTATTAAAAATCAGATTCAAAATAAAATGACTGATTGTTGTACGAGGTCTATTCAAAAAGTATCGCGAACGTTTAGTTATTCGACAAAGAAAATTACATTCTAAAGGGCTGTAATTTACAGATTGGCTTCTACACATATATGTGGGTACATAGATAATAAATAAAACAAGGAAAATTGTTTTTTATTGATATGAAATTTTAAATTCTTTTTTGTATTATATATATTCAAGCAAATGTCTCCTAGTGCCCGATGATACGTTACATAAAATTTTAGATACTAAATTATATTAAATGTTATTCAGTGATCCGTTAAAATATATTACTAAGGCTTCAAAGTTTTTGCCTTATCGAAAAAGTATTTCTTTGTAACTTGTATACGTGAATGAATTTTGAAGTGGCAAACAGGACGTGGTGTTTAAAAGTGAGGTTGAAGTGGTCCACAAGGACGAAGGGTTTTAAAATGTGCGAATAATAATCGCAAAAAGTGAAATCGTGTAAAAAATTTTCTTGTTACATTAAATTTTTAAGTTTAACTGACAGTCAATCAATATTTTTTAATTAATTTAACTGATAGAGAGTGCTTATCAAAACCAAACAAAAATTAACTGCAATATTAGACATGGAATAACAACAAACTTCACCTTCTACAAAAAGACTGAATATACAGTATGTATTGTATTGGAGGTACTGTAGAGTGCGCAATACTGTAGGGGATGTAAAAACTATGTACAAAAACTACCCCACTTAACAAGCCGTCAATGATTGAGAACTTTCGGCAGGTTGGTGGTCCCGTAATTTTATCGCTGTTCGTTATAGAAAGCGTCAAGTGACGAAACACAGGCACCTACTCGTGACCTTCGGAGCAGTTGGTACACAGAAAGCCTTATTATGCGTAATGATGAAACTACTGACCGTACGATTGACAAAGTTACTGCTATTACCACAAAGTTTATTTTGAAAATAACAAGCAAAAAGCAATGCATTCGTACGCAGAATATGCGTTGAGAGTGCATTCATACAATAAGAGAGGGGGTCAAGGCCAGCAAAGAGGACAGGTCGGTACTGACGAAATCGTTTTACGATTATTAGAAGACAAAGAGAGATTCCGTGTGATACGGTGTAAAGGATTTAATTCCAATTTCTTTGCTTTCTTGCGGAATTTTAGTCAAACGATTAGACAATACGAAATTATTCAGAATTTCATAACGCAATCACATTGTGGGTAACAAAACCGACTGCTATTAATCGGGCACATACAGAGATTATATACGGGTAATATTCTAGATACCGAGTTTATGATGATGGTGGCACTTAACCAAATACATAGGGGCGGTGGCAGCCTGTGAAAGACTTGGAAATACATAGGGGTACCGAGTAGCATTTATACTGTTACAATACAAGAACTCGCCCTCATCGTTCCAACTACGTCACTCCTAAAAGTTTATACCACAAACATGTGATGTGCTCTAACAGTACGGATTCAGTAAAAAAGCAAAAAACCTTAAAAACAAAAGTATCTGAAAAGTATTATTATATAGACCTTCAATGATATTAGTATTTATTTCAGTGTTTCTTAACTAAAAAGCTAAAGAAAAAAGAAAACACTTCCCTGAAAATAGAATAGTGAAAAACTGACTTATCTTCTCATCGAAATGAAAGGTTACAGATGAATCGAAAAAAAAACAACAAATAATTATTTAATATATAGATTAATATTAGTATTATCGAGACCACATGTTAAGTTCCTACTATGCTTATATTAGGTACTGTAATTTGATATTTGTAGTCTCTATTTTTCCCCACAACGGCCGACGTTTTGTCTCCTACCAAAAGACTAATAGTAAAAGACGAAACGTCGATTGTCTTTTATAATCATTAAAGTTTTCCAATCCTAATTTTGACTCGGATTCTATATAGTTCATATTTTGTTAAGTTTCTAGTCCCATTATGATCGTTGAGAGAGTTCTATTCTCTTTTTCAGAAAATGTAACTCTTGGTCTTTATACGTTCAAAATGCATACGGAAACGATACGAAACAATTTTCCAGGCCACTGTAACCGGCTCATTTCCGGGAGTTTTTATTACCTTTGTAGGGAGAAGGCAATATATTGTGGAACAACTTTTCTCTTTCGGTTAACGACTAAAGGAATATTTATCTTGCTCTGGTTATTTTCAACAGAACAAAAAAGGATTTTCTCGTTAAAAGATGATGTTGTCAGCGCACTGAAGTCACCGGGGGGATGATCCTTAGATAATTAGAATATAGTTCTTAGAGGGTGGAAGAAACAGTGGTAGGACGTGCTTGAAATAAACTTTTGCGTCTAAACAATTCAATTCATATGTTACCGGAAATGTATGAAATTCGTCATTGTATATTGTTGAGTTTAAATCAAAATATTAGTCTGCAAAGTTGGCAATAATTTCAAGAGTCAAAATCGGGTGGCAATACTGTAATCAAACATAACCTAGAAATGTTAATCCGAGAAAGTGATAGAAAGGTGAAAGTTGTGCTCCAAATTGAATCTGAGAATTGTTGATATAAAAGTTGTCATCGAATGTTATTTCGACTTGAGTTTTGCTTGGCAAAACTAGTTGTCAACGAAAAGGCAAAAAGGTATGAAACCAAACGTCGTTGTTATGCTTATTTTGAAAGTTAAAATTGTACTTGCACATGCCTATTGTAACTTGCTTGATTTTTTTTTGTACTTTGCAGCTAAATATTGTAAACATCCTTTTTGTTGCTCAACTCTCTTATTGTAAACATTAAAATTGAACTCATTTATTTTCAATATACTAATTGTTAAATACGACTCAACAGGTACCTTTTTTGTATACAGTTAATAAAACACTGTTTATACCAACGTCTGGACTTTATTATTGGAGATCCCAACCACTGATTAACAACATATATACAATTCCAAAGAAATGTATATCATTCCTAAAATCGCCGGGAAATTGTGAAATAAATTATATTAGACACATTTCCTAGGAAATCTATACATTTTCTAAATAGCAATCCAAAATGTATTACAGGTAATACTCAGTAGGCAATAATATGGCAGGCTGTTTGGAGATGTACCTACATCCATTGGTGACGTCATTGTTTGGTTAGGAAGATTTAAGACAGAATGGAATACCTTTAATGTTGCTGCCCTGATATGTTAGATGTTAGAATAATGTGACGAGGTTATTTTTGTTTCAGCAAACACGATGACCTTGAATTTTTGAGTATGTTGTAGAGGTGATAATGCTGATCATTTTCATATATATGTTAGGCCCGAAGACCAAAAACACTCAGTGGCCGGAAAAAACGGCCACATCGCGTTCTGGCTGCCTTCGAACGCACAGAACGCGTTCTGGCTGTTTTTAAACGCTCGCAACGCGTTCTGGCAACTGTCAATTGTTGAACGCTCACAACGCGTTTTTAAGGTTCGATTTATTTGCCGATTTCTACCTGCGTACAATGAGATTTATATTGNGTTCTCTCGGGCATAATTATTGTGGATTGTGTAATTAATTTTGCGTTTACAGGATTACAAATAAAAAATGATTTAATTTGAATATTTTGAATAGTTTTAACTTACCATTTGTGCGACGCAGAAACAGTGCCTAAAGTTATGGAAGGGAACATCGTTATAGTTTTTATAAGCTTCATATAAAAAGTTTCTTAATGTATTAATATTGATTGCGAATTTAGAACAGAAGTCGAGATCTAAATACATTTGTTGTAAAAGTAGCAATAACTCTTCGTCTTCCCATTGTCTGCTATCAAATGTTGGCATTCTCAACCATTGCTTCACTGATTCTGAAACCTCCGAATCACTGAAACAAAGAATAAATCTACTCTAAACCAGGCTCGAATTCAGACTTTCGTCTACTTTGACAAATAAAAATATACATATTAAATAATTAGCAAAAACAGGATTATGATGCTGCTGGTTTTGAATTAGAGATCCGCACTGCTAAACAAAGAATTTTACTGAATAGTACGAATTGGACCCATGCCTTGAGAATAAGTATGTATATAAAATCGTTATGCTTGGTAAATACAGGGTTTGGTAAGATCGACATTAATTTTTATTATTTATGCTTGATCGATTTCGAAAAATTGGTTAAATTAAAAATAAATCAAGTTTTTTATGGGTTCATTAAAGGTAGATTAACGGTCACAAATCTGGGCGGTGCTTTTGATGTTATCAACCACAGATTTTTGCTAAGTGTCTTCCATAAATATGGTTTATCAGTCAATTTATTGAGGCGGTTAGAATCATATTTGGATAATAGAAGTTCTGTAGTTGTGTGTGATGACGTCGAATCTCTACCTATTTTGGTTGACTTTGGAGTACCTCAGTGTTTACACTGCGGTTCTTTATTGTTTGCCGTAGCTATTAATGATGTTATTAATGTATGTATGCGTCTGTTATTTAGTCTCCTCTAGTGTTGCAACAGACCTCTGCTTCCGCTTGCACAATTACAGAAGTTCCGCATACATATTTACATCCGCTTCTGCATCTAGTTCCGCATTTTTATAAAGGAAGCTTATCGGAACTTAACAAAATCTTGTTTTTCATTATTTTGAAAATCAATGTATCGGAACAATAAAATAAGTTGAACCACCTTAAAAAGATCGACAAAAAAGTGTTAAGTATACCTAATCCCTAAATAGTGTTTTTCTTGAAAGTATTCGATTATTTTCCATTATATATTTTTTATTTTCAAATTTAGGTACCTATCTATGGAAACCAAAATTATAGAGAATTTAATATTTATTCGATTTTAAAAAAAATTTGTGAGATTCGCGGTTTCTAAGATATTACGGGAAAATTGTTGCATGAACTTTTACAAGACGGCGGCGGCGGCAAATATGGGGGAAGGGGGGAACTTTTATAGTCACACTAACCCCCTTACACATCAAGAAAATAAAATCTTTTCTAACTCATAATTCAAATTTTCATTTTGTTGATCATGAAAATAATTATACAATTGTTTTTCATTCTGGAAAACTGAGAATGTTTTTGTTGTAGGTACATATACACCTTTCAATTGTAGATTTTACGACATTATTTACGTTTTGGCTAAATATTTACCACTTCCCCTCGAACTGGGTATTACCTATCGAAAAGGAATACACAAATAAAAAAATTTCATAGCTAATACGACTGTGAAAGTACCAAATATATCGGAAATTTGCAGCAATGGCGCGATAAATATCAATTTATAAGGTCAATGGACATTCGCTTCTAAAAACGAAGGTTTAGTTTGTCCACGGTATGCGGTGTTCATATTATGCGGGGTTTCGTTTAAGTGATACCCATACTAATACGTGTCTACCTATAGTATTAACCACTATATAGGCAATCCAGCATTTGTTTACTGAGACTTTGATGGAATTATTAATTTATTTTATGTCGGAATAAATATCCGATCAAATCGCCAAAATAATAATATTATTTATGCAGTAATTTAGTTAATGAAAATGTGGAAACGACTTACCGAATTTACGTGGGCTTTATTGGAGTAGTCAAATTCGGGAGTAATTTCTTTGAATTGTTGTAGTATTTCGTTGTGCCTTGCCATATCGGTTGCTAGGATGCACCTTATCATACCTTCTCTCACCTGCTTGAATTCCTCGGCCGAAAACGACTGGAATATGTTACAGTCTTCGTTCTCAAGTATTCTAAATGCTACGCTGCAATGATGGTTTTCCAACGGGGATATGTCATTGTACCTTATAGCGAGTTCGGTTTTCGCGTTTATTTGATAAATGTTGTTGTAGCCGGGATGGTCCAGGTCGTGGCATATGCACGAAGTTAGTAAAATTAGCACTTCTAAATCACCAATTTTTGAAGGAAGATCTACACACCACGTAATAGAGTACATCTGAAAGTGGAGGATTTTCATTAATTGTAATTCTTTCAGGGGTATTCTTAATAAATCTTTTTAAAAAATTGTTTTCCTTCTAATAATTCTAATAATTTTTCATAAAAATTTTACATCTTTTAAAGACTGATTATAGCAGTATTAGCGTCTAGCAAGGAGGAGTTAGAGATAGTTTTAAATAAAATGGATGCGGTATTGACAAAATAGTTCTGTATGAAAATAAATAAAAGTAAAATAAAAATACTGGTAGGTAAGGGAAGAAAAAGTAGGAAGAGAGCGAATATAAAGATAGGAGACGAAGGATTAGAAGAAGTGGTTGAATTTAGGTACCTAGGAAGTCTGATAAGTCAAGACGGAAGGAGTAGTAGGGATATAAAGCAGAGGAGCAGGGCCGAGTAGCTTTCAATAAAAAGAAATCACTTCCATGCTCGCGAACGGTTAATTTAGAAATTGGAAAACGGTTGTTATAGGTGTGTTTGGAGTGCGGTGTTGTACGGGTGCTAAACATTGACAGTGGGCGCGGCGGAAAAGACTAGGTTAGAAGCGTTTCAAATGTGGTGTTACAGGCGAATGATGAGGATACCGTGGATAGAGAAGGTTAGAAATGAAGAGGTATTAGAAAGAATAGGAGAACAGAGGACTCTATGGAAGTCAATAAGAAATAGGCGAGATAGGTGGGCAGGACACCTTCTCAGGCATGAAGGTCTAGTCAGAGACATATTAGAGGCAGTTCTAGTTTTGAGGAAGTGCAAAGATCAGCTTAGGATAAGAAAGAGTGAAGGTGCGTGTCCAACCAATCTTAGGACTGACGACTTTATGATGATGAAGATTTTGTACAATTTCTCAAATTATATCTACTAAGATTTCTTCAAAACAGTAGAACATCACTACATGTTTTGAATAACTTAATAAATTGCCCCATTTTCCCACAGTTTAATAAGAATACCCCTTTAAGCATAACGTTTTTTTATTGTTCTGAATAAAAATGCTTTATGTATTTGTAGCTGTGAATGATGAAAAATTGTAAACTGTAGTCGTTTGTACACATAAAAACCAGAAATTATGTTTAGATATGTTGTTCGTTTAGGTACAAAATATGAAACCACACTGCACTAATTTTATGAAAACGGTTTTGGACCTCAAAAAACAACTGAACAACGGGAGAAAACCGAATATAAATTTTTTGTTGTAATGACAATTGCGCCACATGTAATCAATTAAATATAGGTAATTCATAATAAATCCATGTATACATGAATAGTTGAGTTAATACTTATTCATAGGAATACAATTTTGATATCAACTTTCATGTTTTTAAAAGTTACAGAAGTTTTAAATCAACTTTTCTTCCGTCTTTGTAAATTGGAAACGATTTTAAAAATGTTGAATGTAGTTTAAAATGTTCCTTAATTTTTAAAAAAATTTATCTTACAAAAAGCATGGTGAAATGAATATTATTACCTGCGTAATTTTTAAATAGGTTCTCTCGGGCATAATTATTGTGGATTGTGTAATTAATTTTGCGTTTACAGGATTACAAATAAAAAATGATTTAATTTGAATATTTTGAATAGTTTTAACTTACCATTTGTGCGACGCAGAAACAGTGCCTAAAGTTATGGAAGGGAACATCGTTATAGTTTTTATAAGCTTCATATAAAAAGTTTCTTAATGTATTAATATTGATTGCGAATTTAGAACAGAAGTCGAGATCTAAATACATTTGTTGTAAAAGTAGCAATAACTCTTCGTCTTCCCATTGTCTGCTATCAAATGTTGGCATTCTCAACCATTGCTTCACTGATTCTGAAACCTCCGAATCACTGAAACAAAGAATAAATCTACTCTAAACCAGGCTCGAATTCAGACTTTCGTCTACTTTGACAAATAAAAATATACATATTAAATAATTAGCAAAAACAGGATTATGATTCTGCTGGTTTTGAATTAGAGATCCGCACTGCTAAACAAAGAATTTTACTGAATAGTACGAATTGGACCCATGCCTTGAGGATAAGTATATAAAATCGTTATGCTTGGTAAATACAGGGTTTGTCCGCAAAGTAATGAGGCTGATCGCTGTATGACGCTCCAGTCGCTATTAGTGCATGTTGAGACGTCTAAGCTGGGTGGGCGGCAGTACCGTCCGAGTTCTGGCGTAGTAAAGTCTACAGGTGGTGGAAACGCTGCTTTTGACCTTTGTTACGACAGAAAATGTCAAAAATGGAGCGTTTCCAGAAGTAGGACTACGCGATAATATTTTGCTTTCATCTGGGTAAAATTGCCTGCGAGACGCTTGCCTCGGCTAAGAAAGTTATAAAAACGACGCCCTGTCAAAGGCTTCCAGTGATTCACTGATTTCAAAAACGGAGGGGAACATTAAAAAGACGAGTGTTTCATTCCCACCAGTTCCACTCGACTACGTCGGAGGGTAAGACGGAAGGTCCTTTTTAGTCTTTTTTTAGAAATCATGGGTGGTGGTGGTTGGGGGTTAAAAAAATGAAACGGACGAAATTAAAGCAGAAGAGAGAGAAAGATTATCTGTGGAATATTACTCCCCCAGCATTTCCCTAAACTATCCAACCAAACCACAGAATAACTCGGACCAGGGCAGACGGATTCGGAACCGAATCCTAAATCCTAAGCAATGGTTTAAACCATGCCGCTTGATGAATGTATGGAGCGATTTGCACTCCCTTCAATCAGAGATTTGGACGAAAATATGATCAAGGTAAAAGATCTGCAGTAGTTAAAGCTCTAACACGATTAACGGTCCAGCCCCAGCCCACACCCCCCTCGTTGTGACTGTTAATCCGCAGTCACCTCATAACCCTGATACTAGTCTGAAGGACTTTTTTCTGTTATCTAAGCCCAAAGTCGCATAAAAGGTCACCGTTTCGAAGATGTTCATGCCATCTAACGGGCTGTTACAGAGTTTTTGAAAGAGGTTACAGTGGTGGATATCCATGAGGGCCTTTATATCGTTGGAATCACGTTAACAATATATACCGACCTCATCAATAAATTCATTTTACCGGACCCAGTGTCGTTACTTTACGGATATACTCCGTATAGGATGATAGACGGAATGAACGATTTCAAAATTAAATAATTCATTTTTTTCTAATTATATCTCACATCAGATTGTACTCAATCGATTAAAATAAAGCACTCTTTGATATGTAATTGATAAAACTAATTGAGGGTAAGTAATCAGATATCAAAGAACAGACCCAAAGATTTAAGGTGGAAATCAATTCACTTACGCAAACTCTCATCTAGTGACTTGAAAAAGTTGGACCGTTGGACCGAATGAGTGAATTCACTGAGACAACGGTTGACTGCCAAGAAGCTCAAAGTTAGTCAGTCAACTGTAAGTCATGATATCGGCAAAACGTTTGATAGGTGACGACGGTTGTAGGATATGTTGAATAAAACTTTATTTATTTTCAATAATTTTTGTTTTGATTTTAAATTTGAATCGTATACAGGAAAGCAAGTGTAGATTAGTGAAAAAAGTTATAAGGAGTTGTTTGTTAGAGAATCTCTATTGATGACCAGGCGAAATTGAAAACTGTTTCACAGACGACTTGATAAGCGGTTTGTTGAACATAAATCTTATATCAAACAATTGGAGTGGAATTGGATTATATTTTTGACCCTGTCAGCCGCCACTCTTTGCGAGGCACAGCCGGGTCAATGTTACCATAATGTACAATACGAGTGTAATAAGCTCTGTAAGCTCTGTCTTTCGCGCATGTGAAGGGTCATGAGATTTAAAACTAAGTCTACCAACATTTGAACGTTGGCATCCCATTGTATACATTCAATTAATCAACAATTATCCATCAAAGATAGCATCGGTTTTCTATCGATTTGATATCATTTTTGTTTTAATTGGTAGATTTATTACTGGTACTGTTACGCAAGTGTGATCTGACTGTCGGTTTTGAGTTTTTTGACCTTCAGACCAAAATCGATTCTATTCCTTCCTCAGATGTCGAAATTGTGATTTTATTTATTTGGAAATAGTTAACAGTTATCAACAGTGAAATTTTACTCACCAAATGTTTAAAAAATTCTGCCTAACTTTTCGCTTGATTGTATCACTTTTTCTTCTATACTGTAGCATTTTGCATTCTTGAGTTGATAGGGGTTCTGGTAGCTGCTTATAAAACCCTGTAAACAAGGAAATTTACAATTAAGTTACATTAGAATTAAGATTCCTTCTTTATTGTTTGCATATTTATTATTTTTTGTCACAACTGATTGGTTAAAATCATTTTATTTGTATTCCCAGCGCATTCACCATTTCTCTTATTAAAAAATTACGTCTGCAACATTGTGAGAATATACCACTGAAATACGCAGAAGTTTGCTTAAACAATTAAATTCGCATAACGTCTGATGCAGTGGACCGACTTCGATAAAACATGAACTAAATGTTACTTCAAGTTGACCCTTACGTGTTTGTAAAAACTGTATTTGAATTAGGCCGGCAGTTTTTACGTGATGCGTGCTCAAACAAACAGAAAAACAGATATACATGCCAGTTTTAACCCTAATGCACTTATCATTTAGGTAACTTTAATCACTCAATTATTTTGTTTTACAAATATAGACGAACTTCTGTAACTAGAGTAATGGGGGGTAAGGAGTTAAAATAAAAATACAAATTTATTTGTTTTATCAACATATTTACTTGGTATCTTAATTCATTTTTAATTATTTAATTAGTTTGTGTATACCTTTGAAACAAAAAAGGCTGAAACTGCGTTCTTCGTTTCTTCATCGTTTGAAAATTTCTTCCCACGAAGTTCTTTTTTCATCATTAGAAATAAATAATCGCTGGGAGCCAGGTGAGGGCGGCAGGAAGGATGTCTAGATTCTAGAATGTCGATGCCTACCTTATGGAGAGCACCTAACGCCCCATGACGAAGGCGCGCATTGTTGCGCAGAAGAATGATATCTTTTGTCAATTTTCCTCTTATTTTTTCTTTGACGGCTCCAGGATTTCAGCGTAATATTCTGCTTTTATGGAAACACCTTTACTTATATAATCGATTAATAGGATTTCTGCTGAGTTCCAAAAAACTATCGCCATGATCTTTCCAGGCGACTATGACACTTTAAAATACTTGGGTGATATGCCTTTTTTATGCCATTGCATGTTTAGACTTAGATTCACAATAATGAACTCAAGTTTCATTCCCAGTAACAACTTGACTCAAAACAGCATCCTAGTCTTCACTACAGAGGTCCAAAAACGCGAGAGAACACCCCACGCGCTCTTTTTTTTTAAGCATTCTAGGCACCCATCTTGCGCTGATTGTAGTCATGCCAAAATAATCGTGAATTTTAAAATTATTGTATAGAGTATTGCAATTACTTCTGCGAGCTGTTTTTTCTTTAATTGAACATCTTCAAATATTAATTTTTCAATTATTTTAATAATGTATTTTCGGAGTGGTCACGTTGATTGGTCGTCTGGCCGTGGGTCGCCTTCAAGTGAACCCTGCCTTCTTTAAAGAAACACCGAGCGGCATGGCCTAAAGGTTTAGACCACTGCTTAGCATTCGGGAGGACGCCGGTTCGATTCCGGGCCCGTCTGCCTTGGTCCCAGTTTTTATGTGGTTTCCTTGGATCACTTAGATAATCATTCTTTCTTTTCTGTCTTGATTTCGTCTGTTTCATCATTCTCACCCGAACCACCACCCAACCATTCCCACGATTTCTGAATGGAGGCTGTAGGGCGGTAGGCCCTCTTACCGCCCTACCTTCCGGCGTAGTCCGGAGGGACTGTCCGCCCAACAGAATTAGTGGCTGGTAGGAATGAAATACCCAAAAGTCTTTTAAAGATACTGTGCCACTTTTAAACCATGGTTTTACCCGGATAAGAGTCCCCATAAACCAGATTTCATCTCTTCTAGTACGGTTTGAATAGACTTTTCTTGTTTGGTAAGGAACTTTATAACAGTGCGGTACTCGATTTTCTCCATATTTCACATTTTCTTCATGATTGGGTTGCTTGGTTGGCGATACTTCAACGATTAATTAACTCTATAGGAATTTACAACTACCCCCATTAATAAATCTAGTCTCCCATTTCGCCATCAAAAAAATATACCTTCTTAGAATTATGCGTACATTTTATACATTCAGATCGTTTTGTGAATAAATTACAAAGCTTCACAAAGCATAATTTTCTTTTCAAATATAGATACATACAAAGGGAAATGTTATTTTTTTTAATACTTGATGGTTACATTATATTCCGTTTCAAATCAGAGACTGAATTGATATTAGAAGGTTGAAGCTTTCCTTTGTGTTGTTTTTATGTTTATGTGCTATTTAAATAGCTAATTCCATTAAAAATTACCGAATTAAATATATTTTCGCTGGTACTTGAACTCCATTAGGAACAGCGCCTTTTCTATAGCTCGGAGGCCAGTTAATGTTACAATGCAAATGAAATATGTATAACAAAATTTTCCGATATTCCGTAAAGAACTTTATCTCGAATAGTTTTTTATGCCACAGTGATCCGTTTTTCGATTTTTGATATTTATTTGAAACACCAAAATAAAGCAATTATTATAAAAAAAATGAAAGAGATAATTCGTCTAATTCAATATGGTCAATTTATTATTACAAAGCTATAAAACGCATAACTACCCGCCAGCAACTGATATAAAATAGTTATTTTCATTATGACTGGTTACATTTTAGTTTTAGAGCTCATTTAGTTTTTGAATGTGAACAATCAAGTTCAATTTTATTGGCCGTATGTTAATTTTGCACTTCATTTACTCGCGTCAACTTTGAAAGCAGTTAAAACGAACAACAGCCGAGCGTCGATTGGAAAAACAAACAAAGCACGATAATTGTTGATCGGTCAATTTGGCACAGTCCACTGTAAAAAACATAAAAGAAGCGCTTTTACCTGATTTTGAAATTTGAACTTTAACATTTCCACTACGTATTCGTTAGTATATTGTGATTCGTTTTATCATCAAACATTTAATTGTAAACCTATTTATAGTCCTTTCAATTTAATTTTGTCGCTTTTCGATTATAAAGTCAAAATCATAAATTTTGTATTTTATATTGGCGTATAAACTAATTAGCCCTTATATTACAGCGATGAAGAAAAAGCTGCCCTTATAGGTACTTTATAAAGTTTCTGCATCTATCCTTCTACATGTTTGCATTATTTATTTTTTTCCTTTTTGTTAAACTAATGTTGCACGAATCTTTATAAATTACACTGTACAAGTTTTCATTCGGATGGTTTAAACCAAAATATATATTGCTTAATTTTCCATACTTTTCTTGCTTTTACAATCAACGGTTTATTTCAATTTTAAGTACATAGATTTTTCTCAGGCTTGAATGTTTTGTCAGAGACATGAAAGGCAGAATCTGGAGCTAAGAGGAGTAGAGGTAGACCTAGATTAAATTAACTAAAGTTCGTAAATAGTTAAGGATGTGGGATGTTCCAGTTTTAGGGAAATGCGAAGATTAGCTCAGGATAGGAAGGAGTGGAGGTGCGTGTCCAACCTATGTTAGGACTGACGACCTTATGATGATGATGATGATTAAAAACGACTAACATTTGCCTTTTCAGTAACCTACATTATGAATCAATTCAGTTTGATAACCATTATAAGTTACAGAAATGAAAGGAAAGTGTTATATTCCTAATTTTACATTTTGTTTATAGATAATGAAATTATTAGATACGTACATATACAGAGTGTTTCTGAAATAAGTAGGAAGCTTTAGAGGGTGTTAACTAAATGCAATAGGAAATCGCATGGTGAATAAATCAGCGTGGTTCAGGGACAAAAAAATTGTAAGAGAACCAGATGAAGCTGCAATTCAAAGCCGACCCTGGGAGTGAATTGGCAATGTATAGAGAAAATTACGATAAGCAGCTGCATCGATGATAAATGTAAACAGTGACGGTTGTAGAACGACTAATGAAGTAAATATTAACACTACACATAGTAATCATTAGACGCCCATTGTTACAATAATGATTAATTAGACAACTACTTTGTCAATCGCTGATAGTATGCAGTACTATTTAAAAGAACACCTCAGCATAGTATTGAGAACACAAGGAAAAAAAAATAAACGTTATGTAGACAGTAACAGGTACATTAGTATCTTCTGGGTAGGTAATAGTAATTTTATTTTTCCAAACCACCATTGAGGTGTTGTCAAGGTGCGTTATCTTCCTTCACGGTGGTTCGCGAATATCCCTATAAAAATTAATTACAACACCACACAGATATGTACGTACACTACAAAAATTAATCGCGCAAAAACATCCGACATTTGACGTACTCACTTGCAGCGATTATACACGGTCATGTAAATCATTAGTGTTCTCCACTGACGTTTGATACATGCGCTACTTCATACAATCCCCTAAAAAGAAGTAAAACGGATTTAGATCAGAATTACACGCTGATCAGGTTACAGGACCTGCACGTCCAATCTGGTGTTTGGGAATATGTCCGATTGGAAACTAATGCGTTGGTCAATGCAATAATATTCTGCACTGACCTATAATACTGACACATTGACCTACTTCTAATGACTTTGACTGTCTATATACATATGCAATATAAGCCTACAACGTTAAAAGAACAAATAATTACTCTTGGATGACTATAAACATAAACTTCGTCAATCACACTTATTCTAATCTAATAAATAACAAACAATAATATATGAGTACAAAAATACAAAAGAAATACAACACGGATGCATTCAATTGAATGCAGCGTTTCAATGTCGTATTTTCCAGTGTGATCCTACTAGGACCGGACTAGTCCTTGCTTGTACTATCAAATACGTTTTTCTTCGAAAATTATGGACTTTCGGACCACTAAACATTTACTTAATTTTCCTGTTTTATAATGCTCTATTACTTTCAGATACACCCCGTATTACTTCTTATACCGATGAAATAAAAATTAAATGTTCCCTTAAGATAACTATAGAAAAAAGAAACAATAAAAAGGAGAAATTGAATCAAACAAACGAATATAAATCAGTTGTAACTCCTTGTATTTGTTTTTCTTTTTTTTTCACAAACAACTTATTCCTGCTTACTAGGTTCTGAAAACATGTTCACCGGTTCTTTAAATCGTTTTCTGATAAGTGAAAATTTCTGTAGCTTAAGTGAAAATACGTTTTTCTTGACGATCGGAAAAATTCCAACTGTTCATGCTCTTTGTGTCTATTTATAGTGGCGACAAATACCAATATGTTAAGGGAAGAAAAGACCCTGGCTAGGAAGGTAAAGGGCAAATACAATCAATATAAACATTTACTCCAGGAGACGGAAAAAGATCTGATGTTATCAAATCAATAATATACAATAGTTTAGTATTAATTCTGGCAATATATTTGACTAAACTGGATAGATTTGTAGATTTAGAAAAGGTTTTGACAATGTTAAATGGGACAAGATGTTAAATATACTTAAAAATGTAGGGATGAGTGGTAGAAATAGAAGAGCAATGCTTAGTTTGTATAAAGAGCAACAGGCAGTTATAGAGATAGATCAACAACGTAGAGAAGTAAATATTAGGAAGAGACTCAGACAAGGATGCACATCATCAAAGACAGTACAACTGTAGGGATGGATATAGAGGGGCAAAAGATTAGTATGCTTAGATTTGCAGATGATATAGTACCATCTAGCAAGGAGGAGTAAGAGATAGCTTTAAATAGAATGGAAGCGGTATTGACAAAACAGTATTGTATGATAATAAATAAAAGTAAAACAAGAAAAAGTAGGGAAAGAGCGAATATAAAGATAGCAGACGAAAAGTTAGAAGAAGTGTCTGATTTTAGGTATCTAGGAAGTTCGGTAAGTCAGGACGAAAGGGTAGTAGGGATTTAAAGCAGAGGATAGCGTAGGGTCAAGTCGCCTTCTAAGAAAAGAAGTCACTTCCATGCTCGCGAACGGCTAATTTAGAAATTCGAAAAAGATCGTTAAAGGTGTATGTTTGTAGTGGGGCGCGTTTGGGTGCGAAACATGGACAGTAAGAGTGGCGAAAAAGAAATGCTTAGAAGCGTTCGAAATGTGGTGTTACAGACAAATGATAAGGATACCGTGCATAGAGAGGGCTAAAAATGAAGAGGTATTAGAAAGAATAAGAGAACAGAGGATTCTATGGAAGTCAATAAAAAATAGGCGAGATAAGTTGCTAGGACATCTTTTGAGGCATGAAGGGCTAGTCAGAGACATATTTGAGATAGAAACAGGAGTTAATAGGAGTAGAGGTAGACCTTAGATTACTGTTTGCAAATAGTTAAGGATGTGAGATGTTCTAGTATTAGAGAAATGCGAAGATTAGTTCAGGATAGGAGGGAAGGTGTGGAGATGGGTGTCCAACCAGTCTAAGGATTGACGACCTTATGATGTCGAAGCAGTTGCTGAAATAAGAAATGATATAATTACGGTTCATCTCGAAATATTGGATTAAGTATATAACTTGTTGTGTAGCAAGTGCAACCATTTAAGGCAAGTCGCACTCTGTGTTAGTTCAAGTATGATTGCTTCTGAAGAAGTTTCATTTAATTTTACGAGCATGAACAATCGATGAACTAAAATATCATTTCTGTTCCCATAAATGTATTAGACTAAATTGGTTATATGTACAGATGTTAGCAGGACAATTCGCAAGGAAGGCTAAAATATTTTTTTTTAGACGTCGACTAAGTGTGCCCACTTACAGCTCTAATGTTTATTGTGTAGCGAGCACGAGTGTGTTTGTGTGCGACTGGGCACACGTGTGCGTGAACAGCTTATCGATTCGCCGACTAGCCGCGGGCGCCGTTCTTCATGTGCGCCGTATTTGTAAATGTGTGTGTCGTATCTGCGTTCTGGGAAAGCAGTTAAACGATCTGGATGTTTCTAGAGGGTTCCAGAAAGGAAACAAAAGAGTATTTAAAGGAAGAGACGATCGCCGAGAGAGAAGAAATAAATTGACCGTTGCAAAAGTGAATCGAGAAATAAATTGACAGTGATAGCAGTGAAATAAATAGAATAATTCATAATCTAAGTTTAGTAATAATTTAATAGTGTTTTTAAGTTCTTTAATAATTAGTGCAAATAAATGTTG